AGCTCCAAGGAAAGCAAGGAGAGTAAGATCCTTGGTGGAAATCTATGAACAAACTCAAAGGTGTCAAATGGCACATGTCGAGGAGCCTAGCTGTTTTGAGGAAGCAAGCAGAACAGAAAATGGTGCAAAGCTATAGATGAGGAAATAGAAGCCTTGGAAAGAAATCAAACATGGGAGCTTGTGGACTTGCCTAAAGACAACAAAGTTGTAAGTCTAAAGTAGGTATACAAGACCAAGTACAATTCTGATGGGTCAGTTCATAAACACAAGGCTCGGTTGGTTGCTAGAGGTTATATGCAGCAAGAAGGTGTGGATTTTGATGAGACTTTTGCACCGGTTGCCAGGTTTGATACTATTCGAACTGTTTTAGCTTTAGCTGCTCAACATAAGTGGTCTGTTTTTCAGTTTGATGTGAAGTCAGCTTTCTTGAATGGATTCTTGGAGGAAAATGTGTATGTACAGCAGCCTCAGGGTTATGAAATTGAAGGACAGGAGCAGAAAGTGTACAAGTTGAAGAAAGCACTCTATGGTCTGAAGCAAGCACCAAGAGCTTGGTATGAAAGAATTAATGCTCATTTCTGCAGCCATGGATTTCATAAAAGTCCAAGTGAGCCTACTTTGTATATTCAGACCAGAGGTGGAGATGAGGTACTGTTAGTGTGTCTTTATGTTGATGATTTAATATACACTAGCAATAGCTCTTTTTTGTTGAAAGAATTTAGAAGAATGATGGTTAATGAGTTTGACATGACTGATCTGGGTTTAATGAGATATTTTTTGGGGTTGGAAGTGGTTCAAAATGGTGAGGGAATTTTTATTTCCCAAGAGAAATATACTAAAGATCTCCTTAAGAAGTGCAGAATGGAAGATTGCAACTCAGTGGGAACTCCAATGGTTTCTAATCAAAAGTTCAGTTTGGATGATGGAGAAGAAAAAGTTGATGCTCATGCCTATCGCAGCCTTATTGGGAGTCTTCTTTATCTCACGAACAGCAGGCCTGATATTACTTTTGCCACCAGTGTGCTATCTCGTTTTATGCAAAGTCCAAGTAAGACACATTATGGAGCAGCGAGGAGGATTCTAAGATACTTGAAGGGGACAATCTCTTTTGGAATTTTATATGCCAAAAATGAACAATTTAATTTATTTGGGTACTCTGACAGTGATTGGGTAGGTTGTGTTGATGACCAGCGTAGTACTTCAGGTTATGCTTTCTTTTTGGGGTTCGGTGCTATTTGTTGGAGTTCAAAGAAGCAAGCCTCTACAGCTTTGTCATCTTCAGAAGTAGAATATATCTCCTTAACAGCAGCAGCGTGTCAAGCCACATGGACAAGAAGAATTCTGGAGGATATGAAGCAAGTACAAGTGCAGCCAACAACAATATTTTGTGACAATCAATCGACCATTGCGATGACAAAAAATCCAGTATTCCATAGTCGAACTCGTCACATTGAGACTCGGCACCATTTCATAAGGGAGTTAGTGGCGAGTGGAGGCTTGGAAGTTGTTCACTGCAATTCAAAGGATCAAGTCGCTGACATCTTTACGAAGCCACTTCCTTTGGATAAGTTTATCCATTTAAGGGATTTGCTTGGAGTTTTAAATTTCAGCATTAAGGGGGAGCATGTTACAATATAATGCTGAAATGGGTTTTTTGCTTTGGTGTCAATTTCTTTGCTTAGCTGTCAATTTCTGGTTTATGTGTCTTCAAGATAAATTGCAGGATTAGTTTATAATTTGACAGAGTCCAAGTTTGTTATTGAGTCTTTATTTAGTGGAGTATGGTTCCTTATTTTTAGAGATAAGATTAGTTTCCTTTTTTGCAGATCGTGGAGTCATGGAGTCCTTGTATTGTGCAATCTGTTGCTCTACATTTTCTATTTAAATGGGCACAGATCAGTTGAATAAATATCCTCAATTCAGTTCATCTTTTCTGTTGCACACCAAGTGTTTGATTAATTGCCTCATAGAAATTTCATTTACTTTAACCCCTGTTTTTTATCAGTTCCATTCATCCACGAAATTTCTTCGATTGGATTAGAAGGTTCCACTACGTACCTCATGACTCTGCTTTTTCAGTTAATTAGAGAAAAAAAAAAAAAACTAGTTTTATCATCGAATGTTCTTCGATTGGATTAGAATCCATTTTCTTTGTAGTTTTCGGCCTTTTTGGTTTCTCTTTCATTCCTCTCCCTTGTACAGTTTCTCCTT